AATATACAATTCTTCAAAGAACTTATCAATCCAATAGAGTTCTGTGAATTTTTCTAATTCAGCTTTATATCAAGTTAGCAAATTGGTATATTCTATTATGATCTTGATCCCTTAAGTAATTCGAAACTATTTTATAGATATATCCTGGTATCTAGCTGTAAGTAATTAAATTAGATTATAAAAGAATTCCCTAAAGTAGCCTTAAATAAAATTGGTAAAGATTGCTTTCACATCAATCCATTGTTTTGTAAAGGAGCCCTGGAGATAAGTAGATATTCAATATATCTTATAAATATTCTTTTTATAGATTATTGATATATTATCAAAAATATTTTCATATTCTCGAATAAAGATCTGATATTTTTTAAAGATTTTCTATAGTATATACTAGAAATATTAAAATATCAATTAGTTTCAAGTTTTTTATTTATTCTCTAAGTCTTTATTAGTTTTTTTTTAAAAGGCCTCCGGGGGTATAATATTCAATCCTTTGTTTAGTTGTTTTCGAAATATATTATTCTATTATTTGATAACTTTTTATTTCTTTAATAGTTTTTATTCTTTTTTATTGATTTCTATTGATTCCAAGGGAGCTTGGGATAGTTCCGGGATTATATTCTCCTAATAGATTATAACTAGTTCTCCTAGATATACTGGAGTATTTCCAGAGTTAGTTATCTCAAAGCAACTAATAAGATATGTATTCTTTTCAGGAGTATCCTCTTTGAAACTATCTACTAATATATATATACTATTAGAATATAATAGGGTTTTTATTAGTTTCTGAGCAGATATTAAACTTTTTGGAATGTAAGAAGATATTGCCTAATTATTATTTGCTATACTAATTACTTCCTTTTAATAATAAAAGATAAAATGAGTTTAGTTTGTAAAGGATTATAAGCAAGAAATAGGCTAAATAATATCAATGCTATAGTTGGAATATAGTTTGTATAAAACTAAATTTATACTATTGCCATAGTGGTATAAGGATGATTTTTTATAGATTTCAGTACAAACTGACTAATAAAGAACAAAGGATATGAAAGGATACGGAGTATCCTTTTATATCCACGCTTTTCCGGCTAGTCCCCGGAAGGGGATTAGTCTCTACGCGGTGACAACTAATTAATTTCTTTTAATAATAAAAGATAAAATGAATTCAATTTATAAAAAATCATAAATAAAGAATAGATCGAATAATATTAATATTAATATTAGAATATAGTCTATATAAAACTGAACTTATATTATTATTATAATAATATAAAGATAATTCTTTATAGATTTTGATATAAATTAATTAATAAAAAATAAAGAATATAAAAGAATATTCTATATTCTTTTATATTTACGCTTTTCCGACTAGTCTCTAGAAGGGGATTAGTCTCTATACGGTGACAATACAAAATCAAGTTTGTTTTTAGAATTTAGGTTTTTTTTTATATATAATATTTGATCCAGTTTTTCTTATACTAAATCTTAAACCCTGTATATACATAATCAATTTTGCGAATATATACGGTATTCTATCTGATTCCACGCCTTATATCACCCCATTTCCAAGACAACTAAAGCCCGAGAGCATCACAGGTGCCTAAAACCCCTGCTCCGAGTCAAATTATTCGGCCAATTAGCCCAAAACAATATCATTCTCAGGCAATCAATACAACATATTAATCTCTAACTCCACCAACCACACCCTCAGCACTGTCATGCAGGAGACCCCTACCGTCTGTAGTCACCGCCCTGTCAAGCCTCAGGAAGCACTACAACAACAAGGATTCGATAGAAGTCTCTCGGCCAAAACGCCGATGTAAGTGGTGGTGTTACGAGTCATTATGGTATTTAGGTTCTACAAGATGAGTCAGTGCCAGAAGGGTACGATTCCGGGCTATTGATTGAAATCCTTAATAATAATATATGGTATGCTCTTATTTGAGTAATTGAACACGACCTTGCAGATGCAAGCACGCACAAGCACTCCATCCAGCTCTTCTTCATTATCCTATGCAGCATCAACCATTTTCGACTTATTACCCTTATTACCCACAATGATCCTGTGAAGGTAGCCCCAGATTTAAAGTGTGAGTGTGAGTTGATCCCTACCAACGAAACTGCTCTCTCCTAACTCTCTTGCGGTCATCCGATTCAAACATCGAAGGAGAAGGACTCCTCTTCAAACCGAAACTTCCACTCCCCTCCGACGTTGCCAATTCATCCAGTAGCTGAACAGTGTGTGCACCGGTTTTATATTTTGATTACCGCCTACCTAATGTTATTTCGTACATAAATCACATTTCCAGCCACTATAATCATCTCCAGATCAAACAATGAATCTTTCCCGTATTATCTAGCAAAAATGCGCCCAACGCCAGAACCAAGAGCGGCCGGTATTTGTCTCAGTCCTCCTCAGCCCACAACTCCAAGAGAAACAAGCTCATTATTCTTGGGAATGTTGACTCCATGAACTCCTGAACCTTGTTCCATTTCATCGACATAGGATGAACCGTGACCGATCGATAGCTTTAGGGCAGAACAGAATTTAGATATGCGAGAGAAGACGAGTAGATTATTAGTATAAGATTCCGGAATATGCTAACTGTTCACAATTGGTTGGAGATGACCCGACATGCCCATCCATAACCGTCTTAACTCGACCAATTGAGTGTCCTGCCCAAAACTCTACAAATATTAATCCTAGATTTCTTCGCTTCGAATCGCTTAAACGTGAATGTGTACCGGAATTAAAAGCCAAAAGTAGATATTGCAATTATTAAGACAGAACCTCAATTAGTCAAGAGTTGAAACACTAGCTCCCTAAACAATGAAATGCGGTCTCTCTAGGATTTGCTGGCAATGCTACTTGAGTACATCGTTTCAAATACCTAGTAAGCTTAGTAGCTTAGTAGCTTGGTAGTCCGAGATCCAAAGATGTTTCAATTTGACTTCAAAATCATCACATTTTCTATTTCGAAAAAACATGGGGAGCACATATTCATCTCATAAGTTAATATTCAGATACTTTGTAAATCGCCAGCTCCGAGATTTACATTCAGAAGATGTTGACACCATGCTGAGAGTTAGAGTAAGAGTAAGCCGCCCAAGCCCTCTGAATCTTCCTGAAAAGGAAGAAAAGATAATAATAGAAAAGTTTTCCTTGTCAAATTGAACTCCGCCTTAAATGCACGGCTCCCTGTTTACTTTTTCCTGAACCTTCATCCTTCGACTCTCGTTTCAGCCCCACCATAATAGCTTAGTAGACTTTCTTCTTCTCATCGATGGAGTATTTCCCTGGTCCGCTGTTGACAAGGAGTAGGAGACCTCCAACAATTGATAAAATTTGGAAGAAATCGTACTTGGCGAAATCCTTGTGGGGGTGGTGTTCGTGAAGCTATGGTAAATTAGCATGATAGCCCCGCATAAGCAATAGAGCTCGACTTACAGTCCAGAAGTTGTTCACCAACACATTGAAAACACTCAAGATAAGAACAAGCATAATAGCACTGAACTTTGCCTTGAAACCCACTACAACCATAACGCAGGAAACGAGACCGAAAACGACCACAATCACTCTCCAAATACTCCAGGTGCCACTGAAAACGAATCCAACGAAGAGGAAGATCAACAAGACACGACCAGCGAGCTGGAAGTACATTTTGCGGTCCTTCTCGTCTATTTCTGGGAGACCGGCAAATGCCTTGGATTTGCGGACCCATGAATCGGACAAAACCATCAATAGACCACCCATGACCGAAAGATTTCGGAGGAAAAAGTTGAGATCAAAGATGAGTCCATATCCGAGTGCCTGTACCACCACAACACCAATCAATCCACCAACAGCGTAATCCGAGTATCTTCGTGCGATAACAAGTGTAGAGCACGAAATCATTGCGAGGACGTTAAGGATTAGGAAGATATGTGTAAGACCGCTTGGGACTAGAAGATTGTTAATCATGCTGTGCCATGTTTGGGACATATAGGTAGCATACTGTGTCGGTAATCATGCAGATATAATAGTTGATCGCTCCATTGTGTAATTATTCTTAAGGCATCCTCCAAGAATGTAACAACGATTAGGAATCGTCCGATCGCTGGTAAGTATCTGCAAAACATAAAAGTTAACAAATTGCAAATCCAAGTATTCAAGCATGTAATTAAACCCCTCAAAGCTATCCTCGGCGGGGTTCTGTGAGGGAACATAAAGGTAGGGCATACGGCTTAACAGGTTCACTTAAAGTATCCAAGAAATCCTCAATTTTGCTTGTTTGCTCCCTGATCGCATCAAGAGCACCAGGTTCATTCTGCTTATCCATACCACCCATACTTGATCCTCCTCCGAATGAGTTCTGCCCACCCAAATTATACCCTGCTGTACCGCGTATCGACATTGTCGCAATTCTGCTGGGCTTGCACCAAATCGAAGAAACCAAGAGAATTCGGTTTAGGTTATCCTCAATTAACACCAAATAGGGTATTGTAGTCGTAAAGGATCGGCTGGTACTGGTTCAAAGAGGTGGAGTTGTGAAGAAGAGGAATGTGGTGAGCCTTCTGAAGTTGGATGTTACTTTTTGAGATTCTCGGTAGAGCAAACTGTCCTTTCAGGGTCGGAATCCAAATTGAATAATGATCCGAGTAACCTAACGAGTTACGAGTTACCCCATTTAGCACAACAACTCAACTCCTCTTTATTTTCATCAATCTATCAATTGTTTTATTGAACGAATAATGAAACTTAAAAGGCTCTTTGTGCGAATCTTACCTACAACGAATCACAATAAACTTTACCATAATCTCATTCAACATCAAAATCAAGGCACAAGAGATATAAGCATAAGCATAAGCATAAGCATAAGCATAAGTGTTTGAAATGTTTAATAATATTTTCCGTATCCATTTTGATAATCCTTCGTAGAATTTGCTCGTCATCACACATGAATTTACACGGCACTTTTGTGGTCCCAGCTTTAGCTGTCTCTTCCAGTCTCTTCCAGCACTCATGGCACTGGTGTATCTCTTCAATCGGAATCCATCTCGCAACTAAAAAAGGAGGGGGGAGAGGGAGGGGGTTGACAATCTCCATTGCCCTGATGTTTAACTCCAATTCAAATAACTGGATACCGCCTTGCCGGATTCTAAACGATATCCCGCTATAACGCCTCAAATCATAATGGTAATAGATAAATATGGATCCAAAAAGTAAATTCGGCTAGTGAATTCTTACTAAAAAGCACTCAGATCCAACGGAACACTGCTCCCACGACCGGCCCGATATTTCTTAGGTCCACCAACAAAATCTCGGGGTATGGGAAAAACCGATTCATCTGTAAATTTCCATCGGAAGTCGTTGATTGTAACCCTCCTGTTAGAAGTAGAACTGGTGGCTTTCGGTAAACTGCCATTTGAAGAGAGAGTATATGAACTAGAATCCATTGTGTGAGTTCTTCCTTGTGATTGACTTTGACTTCTTGATATTGGTGCGGCCGGCGGTGCCGCTGGTGGAGATGGCGCTCTGTGTGATAATATAGAGGGAGGCCCATTAGAAGGAGGTGGAGGCGGTGGAGGTGGCGCACCCATTGGTGATGCTTGACCGGCAGCACGAATTGCTGCCTGCATGGCAAGACTCTGGCTACCTCCGTTAGTCAAAGGTGGAGATGTTGGTGGAGGGGGCGCATATGATCGAGGTGGGTTACTGGGAGGACGTGGAGCTGGAGAAGGTGGCGGCGGAGGTGCAGCAGGGGGTGGAGGGGCCGAAGAAGGAGGTGGAGGGGCAAATGATGGCGGTGGTGGTGGTGGGGCTGATAGTGCTGATAGTGCTGATGAGGGCTTTCGAGTACCAGGGGGTGGAGGAGGTTTCTTGCCAATAGGTGGTGGTGGTCCTTTGAGGGAGGCTGAAGATGCAGGTCGAGAAAGTGATGGCCCACCAGTCTTCCGTAAGTTTGCAATCGAGGGCGTAAATGCTGGTGTAGTGGAGCTGGACTGAGGAGGAGGCCTGACTGATGGTAAAGGCGGGGCTGCGTTTGTTGGAGGTCTAGGAGCTGCCATACCTGGCGGTTTCGGCGCAGAGAATCCCGGCTCTGGTGTAAATGATGAACCTTTGTTTGCTGTAATAAATTAGAATCCCATCCCAACCTTATAGAACGTAAAGCTTACCGCCAGTATCTACTCCTCCGCCTCGTTTCTTTAATTTGGGCATGCCACCTGCGAAGATTCCTCCTAACTGGGGAGGTTGCTCCATTCCTGAAACTGCGCTATTATTTCCTTGGTCACTATTACTTCGAGCCCTATTTCCTCCCGGTACTGGTGGTGCGCCAAATCCCCCAGGAGGTTTTGCCATTCCGGGCACTGGTGGAGCACCTCCTATCGGCATTGGAACGGGACCACCAGATACTGCGCCTACTATCGGTGCCGATCGATCGTTGGTTACAGCTTTCTTGAGTGCTCTCCCTTTCGTGATGTCTGTCAGAAGTGCGCCCTATAATATGATTAGCAATATTAACATGACAAGCTTAAAGCAACTGCACAACGGGGGATTTTTACTCTGCTGGCAGGGCCCTTCGCGGGTGCTCTCGATGACATAGATCCCGGGGGGGCCCCAGGAGGAGGTGGAGGAGGAGGAGGTGGAGGAGGTGGTGGTGGAGGGGGCATGGTTTCGTGATTAATGGTTATTTAAGTTGAGGTAGAATAATCTTTTAAATATCGTTTCAAAAAGGTAGTTTGGCCAAAGAGTTTGGTACTGGGTATCATTCGTGCATAAGAGCGGAAAAAATTGTGGTCAAACAGAATAGATTGATCGCATGCTCAAATGCATCAAAGGAGATGCCTAGTAAATAGAAGCTCGGAAAGTTATCTCGGATTCACGCATTGTGTTCGTCGTCACAATTGTGGCTCATGCACCAAGTTCAGCCTTCTTTATTAGTCAGCTACCTTAAGTTTACAGGGTGAGGTGAGGGATCCCGAGCAGGGGTAAAGACATTTTGATGGGATGTGGCTCCGAGGACTTGACTTCAGCTGGTCGAAAACCATCAATTGAAGATCACCATAAACTTGATATTACCCTTCAAAATGTCCAAAGTCATCTTCAAGCCTCGATCGGATGTGTGCCGCATATGCGATTTCATAACTTCCCAGCAGCCCCCCTTCAGACAACAGCGTCGACTTTCAAAAGCAATCAGTACCATTTCTCGCACATTTACCACCACTACCAGAAAACGATCAGGCAATACACCAAAGTCTACCCCTTTTAATGCTTTGCGGAAATCTTTGGATTCGAATCAAGCGCATGCACAACCATCACGGCATATCACGGAAGCAGAACTAGAGCGGGAGTTGAGGCGTGGAGTCGAGGCATGTAATGAACTATTGAAAACTAGTACAGGAACGATACCCTCAGGAAAGGCTATTCTGGATGTTCTACATACATGCCGATTGATTGCTGCGGATGTTGCTGGAGAGCCTGCTAAATCATCAGAATCAAAGAAGGGTGCAACAGCTGCGGCGTCGTTACTTTCATTGGCTGATCGAAAATCGAAGAAGTTGCGAGTTGAAAAGCTATCCCGCGAGAGCCAATCTCTAGTGGACGAGCTCTCACAAAGCCTTTTTTCGATTGTTGCCCACGAGACTGTGTTTATATCGCCAGAGATTTTAGAAGTATACATCAGCGCGCAATCATGTCTAGGAAAACCAGAGACTTTTCCTGTGGTGTTTTACTTGTACGCGAACAAGTCGATACCAATTGAGGGTTCCAATCCAATACAATTCAAAAATCAGAATCCAGATAAAGTCAACAATGCCATCCCAATTGCTGTAGCCGATCAAGCTTTACAAACCGCAATTGATGCGAGGGAATTAGATGTGGCTATGGATATCATTGATACAGCATATGCGCAGAAAGCATTTCGTCGAGCCAAATTTATCCGGAAAGGATTGTTACCTACCGCTGGGGTTGGCGTGGCACCTCTTGCAGCATATGGCGTTGCAACACAACTTGCTATGTTCCAAAATACCATGGAACCTGGCATGGCCACAAACCTCGCATTTGCTGGAATATTAGCATATATGGGGTTTACGGCTACAATTGGTGTGGTAGCTGTGACAACAGCTAATGATCAAATGGATCGCGTGACTTGGGCCCCGGGTATGCCGTTAAGGGAGCGCTGGATTCGTGAAGAAGAACGGGCTACGATAGATAAAGTTGCGGGATCATGGGGTTTTCCTCAAAAATGGCGGCGTGGAGAAGAAGAGGGTAAAGATTGGGATCGATTGAGACTGTGGATTGGCAATAAAGGAATGTTACTTGATGCGGTGGAGCTTATGGAAGGTATGGAGTAGACAAACCCCAGGAGGTATGGAATATATGGTCTTTTAACTGAAAATCTGTTGGTCTGCTGATTTCGCAAGCGCGAATATCGTATCAATATATATATGATCATGATATTGCAGGTTATTATTCGGCTTCGCGGCCTCGACTCAGTACAAACTTCTCACGTTCTCTTTTTCGGAATCTCAAGTATGGCTTCAACGATTTGCAAGCGCAGTATTCAATTGCATGTAAATTTCCTACGCAATACGTGTTCCCAAACAGTCAGGTATAGACTGAGTTCGCCAGTTTCTCGAGCGCAGACGCGGCATTAAATCTAGGGTGAACTCTTGAGGTGATGATGTAGTCTTTAAGCTGAGTGATAGCTAGACTTTGAAATGACTTCCACTTTTAAAGTATGATATTTCCCTCAAAGAAAAATTGTTCATTCTGTATACATTTCGGGCCAGCTGTTACTATTATTATTACTCCAATCAACAGGCCAAGCCTAACGCTCCTTATCTTAACTTGATCTTGAAGTTACGATGGCATTCGACATAAAAGATCGAATGCATTCAGAGTAATGCCTTAAGCATGGCAATCTCATGATATAGTCAGAATAAAAGCTCAGTAAAGAACATCGTAGACTCTCTTTTTGGTCTTTCCTATTGTGTTGATAGTTGCGACGATCGCCTTTATCAAAAGTCCCCGTCATGCCACGCATGTCATGTTTATCGCTCTCCCATAGTCCCTCATCTGCGAGGTATCCCATTAGAAAATAATGAACACAAGCGTCCCGAGCGCCTTACTTTTGCTTGAATGCTTCCTTGTGCTTCAAAACTGTGCATGATTTTGAACACTTCATCTTGTTTGAGTAATTACATCTTACATAGAATTTGTCGAGTTTTTAACTAACCACTATAAATGGTTTCTGAGTAATAGTTGTGGCGATTGGGATACCTGTTTTGCTCATAGGCTGAGCGTGACATAAATATATAACAAGGAATTGATGAGCAAGCAGGCAATTAATAGTTCCGAAACTGTTGTTGATGGCTTGATATATTGATTCTCCGTGGTTGAACCTCAGGTTGATGGTGCGAGTGATCGCATACTTGGTAGAAGTCTTATCAATATAGGTGAGACTAGATTTGATTCCCACGAATCGGTTTAGGGATGCTGCGCGGGAAGGATGGGATACGGTATGGGATGCTTGGAAATGTTGCCTACGAGGAGTAATATATCACTCCATGGACAACAGGGATAGACATTTGCGTATACCACGACTATCTTTGAATTGCTCGATGTGACGATCAAACGCGTTAGGTATCTTTTGATGATGTTTAGATACCTACACATGTGGATATCATGCACAGTATCGAGAGATACGATTACTCATAAAATTTGGGTATTTACCGAAACTCACCAACTACTTATACTCCTTCAATTTGCCAAAACATTCTTTTCTTCACTCGCCCTCAGGCTTTTCTTGAACCTACTCTCTACCTGTGATATGCTTTCCTTTTCTTTCCTTTCCACGATGTCATACTATACCTCATTTCTTTCTCTTCACATCCCACGTTTTGATACATTTTAATGAACAATCTTGAATCGGCCAATTATAGCGCCTATAGTATTCACCAATTATATCATTTCCATTCACCTATAATAAGATATTCACCTCCTTCATTCACTCACAACAGACCCCCACAGTATATATTCTAGAATATCACTGATTCTCCATCATTAAATCTCCTCATTTCATCGTTTATTAATGTTCATCTACTCATTCATTATCCACTCACTACCCATTCATTACCCATCTCATCCATTCATTAACTTCCCTCCCATTCTCATTCCCATTCTCATTACCCCGTCATGTTCCTGGTGAGCTTCGCACTTCGCGCATGATTATAATCCCCGATGAGCCAGCAGCCCCTGGTGCACTTATTCATTTTAGATAATTCTATTCCCGGTAAGTTTTTTTCATAGCTATGAGTAAAGAGTCTCTCTCGAATTGAATCAAGTTGAATTTTTCATAATAGATTCACTCACTTTAAAACTTTTAATTTTTCGTTTAGTTCTCTTCGTTGCACTCATTCACCTCCTCTATTCACCTCCTCCATTCACTTTCTCCTATCCTCATCTTGTGCATATCATCTATTCATTTTCACTTCCTACATTTATCTCACCACTACCATCTCATTCATCCCGACTTCACACCCCTCACTCACACCTCCCATCTCTCTCCCTCCACCCTTTTTCTTTTTCTTTTCCCGCAAACCCCCTTTCTCCAAAATCCCTTTCCCCCCAAACCCTCTACCCTCTACACCCAACAACACAACCACAAGATCCCAACATCACAAGTCCACCCACTCCCACTCAAAGCCGTCCAGGTACTGATTAGTTGGTACACTATCATACCTATATCTATATCTTTCTACATTTACGTTCTTACATTGTATCGAGTGTATTTGCACACACACACACTGGCCATTATACATGCATGTACGATTGATTATCACATGTATTACATTTCCATCCATGTAATTGATTGATACTGTATGGCACCCTCTCCCACTTTCCTCGCTTGTGCTATATATACCTAGTACATATTAGTACCATAACGAATCGAACGTATTTTACCCCCGAATGCCACATCAGCCAGCCTTCACTGAATCCTCAAGCTGCATTTAATTTCAAAGTCCAAATATCTATTAGACAATGAAACATCTAGTTTGACAAACTTTGTCCCCAGTTCATTGAACTTTGCATCAATTTTCACCTCACATATAATATGCCAAAATTCCCCCCAAGTCCCGAGAGTTGTTCAAACTTTATTCTTTCTAGAATCCATAGGCTATGCATAAAATGACGCTGTATCTAACCATGCACGCTCAACGCTTTCCAATCCATCTCATCTCATCTCATCCCCACGCTAGACCGCTCTTCCCGCCTTTCCAACCTGTATGATTTCGCCTGTCCTCTGCTCATCACTTCTCAATACCGGCCAACTGGCCCCATCGGCCTTCACCAATGTGACCTCTAATTTTGTGCCCATGATTTTGAACGACGAGGCTTCTGTATCAATTGCGCCGAAGAGTGGAACTACTGTTTTATAACGTTTGGGAACTGCGTCTGTGGTGGGAAGATCGAGGGTGAGTTCATGGGGGGCGGAGAAGGATACGACTGCTTTGTCCTTGTTGATTTTTTTAAGAAAGAAAGAGGCGATTACTGAGGTTGCTGTTTGGTAGAAATCGTGTCTGTGTTTTATTTCAATTAGTATCAAATTCGACACGCCATCTCATCAACCCAGATAACTCACCTAACCGTCTCCAAAATCTCCTCCCCTCCTGCCCCCGCCTTCCCTTTCCCCCCACTCCCAATAAATAAATGTGCCTCCCTCGTCTTACACCCCTCAATCTTCATAAACTCATCAAACTCCAACACTCTCCTCTTGCAACACGTATACCCCTTACTACCCTCATGAAAAATCGGCACACCAGGATGAAAAACACATTTCTCACCCGCTCTCCCCTTCCCCTCATATTGCTTCCCGCAAGCTTTCCGTCTGCAAGTTTTGCCCACCGGAATCTCTAGGGACGCATCATCATCTTCGGATTCGGGTGGGGGTGGAGGAGGGGTAGCTGTAGATTGGGGCGCGGGAGCAATTGGAGCGCGGGAAGACTCGGGTGGTGGAGAGGGAGCTGGAGTTGCTTGTGTAGATGCGTCTGGAGCTGGTTTCTTCTCTACTTGGGGTGGGAGATCTGTGGTGCTGTGTTTGCCGGTTGCGCAGGCTGGAATGGCGAGGAATTCGTCGAAGGTTAGAACGCGGGGTTTGCAGCATTTCCAACCTGTTTTTTGCATGTTTTAGCTTCACACTTAAATGACAGAAGAGTTTTAATAGTGTATGAGGTAAATCAACATACCTTTTTGGCCCTCATGGAAAATCGGTGGTCCAGGATGGTAGAAACAGTCTTCCTCGGGATCAGTATAAACCTTTGCACAAGATTGATGGACACATTTTTGCGACATCTTGTCTAATTTCTCTCTCGATGTATGTTAATAGAGAACAAGGAAACTGTGAAAGCGAATGAATGTATGCTATTGTGAAAATATAAAAATTGTATATCGCAGATGGAAAAGTCGAAGTCAGAGCTCCCACCTTCCCCAATTTCTAGAATGCTCCAAAGAATTCTGCCGTGGGGAAATGTTGCTCACCGCTTTTACTTCCCGTCCCCTTTGAGATTTATTTGAACGAGGGTCTAGAGTAAATCACACTTTTCTCAGAGCGATCTTTTCTTCGTTGAATTTATTGTCAGACTGGCTGGCTGTTTTGAGGCTTAAGAAATCATCTCACTTGAGATATCGAAAATAGACATTTAAATCAATATGTATCCAACCTTACGACTGCTCCAAGCATGTCGCATCACGCTCTTCACACGAGCTAACTGTTCACTTTGTACCAACGCCAAAGATACATTATTTAAGATCCAAGAGACAAGACCATTTATGTACAAAGAGGTTGCTGTTATGGAAGATGGACAAAAACACTGGAAGGATTTATATGAGTTTGATACACCCGTGGTTGGTTCATGACAATGCACAGGAAAGGAAGATGTTGCTGATACATTGTGCTAGATTCATGTTAGTGGGAAAGATGCTGGGGAAGAACAGTCGGAATTGGCTTCTAAGGCGAGGAAGTTGATGCATAGATTCACCGAGGAGGAAGTCAAGGCAAAGATGGATGAAGTGGAAGGGGAGAGCTCTATTTAATCTATGCCGAACTAGTCGTATACCTCCAAGATCTATCTTGAGACATTAGGAGAATTGATCGTGCTGTTGTAATGAGTATTTGTACATCAACCATCGATTTATCTACCATAAGGACCCGTCAGTTTAGGCCCATCTCCTTGACCCTTTGCCTTATTCACAGCAGCCATTACACCCTGTGGCAAGATGTGCATATCCGTTGCAACGCTCATCATGTGAAAGCCCTGATCAGCATAACCTTTTGCCTGCTCTCCACTCGTGCAAAAGATTCCAGCCTTCTTCCCTGCTGCATTTGCCGCTTTCAGAATTTTTGCAATTGCTGCGTGGAGATTCTCATGCATATGTCCTGCTATGATGGGATGTCCAATATTATTGCCAAGATCGAAAGGCCCGATGAAAAGAACATCAATACCAGGGACAGCAGCAATAGCATCGACATTCTCCACCGCTTCCTTGGTTTCGATTTGTACCATGGTTAGGATGCTATCATTGGCTTGCTTCAGATAAGCATCAGAATTCAATTCGGGATCGAAACGTTCATGAGGAAATGGTGACCCGAAACCTCTCTGGCCTTGAGGCGGAAATTTGGCGCTTTTTACAAGTTGTTCAGCCCCCTCGGCTGTGTATAGAAGAGGTACAAGTACACCATGAGCTCCACAATCTAAAGCACCTGTTGAAAACTATCAGCATCTCCAAATACATGATAAATACATCTTGATGACTTACGCTTGACCATCCACCCTTGATTATCTGGAACTCTGACTATCGGACTCACTCCACATGCTGCAATCGCAGGGACTGCATCGTGCATTGCCGCGTCTATTGAGAATTAGATAATCTACTCTTCTTTCACTGCTGATTCTCGATATTAAGACGGCGAATTGCACTCTATGAAGAGAATGTTGATAATGAGAGGGTTATTGGATGATGGAGACTGAAGTAGTGATGCCATTCAATACAGCAGATCTTTCCAAACCCAATGCCTATGCTTGCTTCATAATTTATGAACCTCAAAATCTCTGGTAGCAGCCATATATCCAATAGTCCGGACTGCAGTCCAAAGACGAGCAGATTTTAATTCCTGAACGGTATCTTATATGTTTTAGACACACTTAGCCAAAATATCGAACTCGTTCGGAATACTGAAGCCCTCATAAACATTGCATCTACTTGGAACAATGAATTGACCTAGATAACTCAACCATTTTCAGACATTAAAAGTCTTCCAATCGGACCATTGTCCGGAATATTGGGTATTCTGGACCGCAGAGATCTTATATAAGCAAGGGCACTTACACCACACAAGATCTTACTCCCCCAAAAGAAACCAAACTCACCATCAATATTGCCATGTTCACAATCCACCAAAACCCAATCAACACCCGTCCTCGCTAAAGTCCTCGAAACATTAGCCCCTGGAATCATCTGCCAGCAACCAATTGCTGGTTCCATTCCCTCTCCCATCACTCTCCTCAACCGATTTGCTTCTTGCATCATGTATTGCATTACGGAAGCTATTTGGTGGTAATGGTGTTGGTGTTTGCCGTTGATTAGAACTTTGCTCTTTAGTACTGGTAGCTTCGAAAATATATGAGTAAGGAAAGTCGAATTAGATTTCAAAGTCAACTTAGTAAAGATACGGCGAGAAAGTATGAGGTATTAAAGTACTTGGAAGAGGTACTAGTGACTTTTGTCTTGTCGTTGTTAGAGCTGGCTGTGTTATCGGAAATACTAATGGATACCAGTGAGTACCCCACATTTTGCTGTATGTACTGTCTATTGGTCCAAGAATGGCATTTACGTTGGTTATTGCATGTTGAGACAATGACTTTTCTATGTACATGTGTGATACGTATGAATGAATCCCATGTATTGATTCAATATGAAAGCAACTCCTATACAACTTACCTACTCAGTATGGTATATTGCCAGAATTAGTATTGGTATTGGTATTGATATTGGTATTCTCAAGAATGGGAATTTGATATCCCATCCTACTAAGGAAGCTAAGGAATTGCCTAAAAGGAATTCGTGGGGGAACATCTCAAAAGGAAAGGTGGGGGGTTTTGTTCTTTGTTTTGATTTCTTGTTTTAAGTTGTGTACCATCCCTTAAACCGAGATCTGTCCCAACCAAGAAGGTAGATTGGTAGGTTATGAAGATACACTCACTGAGTCTCACTCATTGTCATCTCTACTTGTATCCAACGATTTCTTGCATGCAACTGCTAGATGAGCCCAACGTTGATCTTAGTCATATTTAACTTTGAATGATCCTTGGGCACTGGGCAGAAGTTGCAGATGCATTAATATATACCTAGTTACTTATCAATCAAGTCTCTTACCTTTACCCCTCGTTACATATTTTATTGTATGGGTTATTCTCCATACTTGAAACATAAACTCCATAATGTTAGAAAGAACATCAAAAGAAAATTCCATCCTTGGGCCTGGGAAGGAACACAACTTACACCGGATAAGCGATTGCATCTTCCGGTTTCCCAAGTTACAACATAAAGGTCAGCTGCTGTGATCAAAAAATGCATGTAAGCAGCGGTGTGACCATCGATACCTCTCAAAAAACCGTTGACTCGTATTTGACGAATCAAGATGCAGAGAATCCATTCCTGTAAATTTCCTTGATTATTGAATTTGGGAACTTCTCCTCCTACTGCGACGTTGTTCAAATGCCCCCACGCGTTTGAACTTTTCCCCCATAGGAAACTAATGTAGAGAGTACCCAGAGAGTAAGCCGCAGCATGGGTTTCTGTACAAGTACATGATGCAAGAGTCCCGATCGGAGACCCGCTACATGGACTAAGGGGATCATCAGCGTGACTTTCAATGGGTGCATTGGTGGATTACGATGGGTGAAAAGGAAGTTGGGCAAAGTTTCACTCAAAGTTTGTTACTGTTACATACACTGCCTGCTATACTCGAGTACAATGAAAAGAAGTGATGAGGTGAAATTGATATTGGGCAAGGCCAATATAATCTTGCTAATATACAATTGCTCTACTTTTTGAAACATACACTCTTTAAAACAAGTTTCAAGAATCAGGAATCAGGAGGAGTCAAAACTTTGATTCCAGAAATGATGAATTCTTGTGTAATGACTCAAATATCAAACACAAACGGGATTAAAAACGTTGATATTTGTATTACATTGCATTGTATTGTGTACTGTATTATGTATACCCAGCCCGCGTGAATCTTTTCCGTTCCCTTAGACTTGCTCAATGCTCTACTGCTTATCATATAGCATCACCTGCGGGCCACGGTATTACTTACTCTTTTACACCTACACCTAATCGACATCAAGCAATACCACCCCAGTCTCTAAGGGTTTGGATTGGATCACAGTACTTCGCCCCAGATGGTTTCCACGTTGTTCTTCGAGATGTACAGTACATAACATTCCCTTCTCCGCTTTTCCGTTCATTTTTCCGTGTTTAAAGGAGAAACGAGATTATGGACTTGAGTCGGGGGGGGCTGAAAGTGATGTTCGGACAATGTCTTAAGCGGCCGAGGTTTGCCTTTATTGTTCTTCTTCTTCTTCTCGAACTCCAGAGTCCAGATACAGTACATAACCAACCCAGCTTACCTGAGAGAAACCATGTACTGTAACAAGGATTAATTTTCCCGAAGTTTTGCTAAACTCGAATTTGAATGGGCCAACTGGGTCTTGAAGACTTCTCTTTAAACCTTCCAAACTTCCTTTCTGTGGGCCGCATCACTGTGCCAAGTCAAATTCCCTGTATACAACCTTTCTCCCCATCACCAAAACTAACTACTTTACCTCATACTGTACGGAAGTACTCCCATTTCAAGGTCTCCTTGCTATTTCTAAATAAGGGTAGGCACACGATCCACCACCGTCACTTATTGTCATTTATCTAACTTCTTGTTCCGGGACCTTGCTATTTGCTTATTTGCTATAACCCAGTCCCTTTCCCACATTGTGAGTCTTTACTTGATTGTTGCAAATTACTACCATCACTACAATCATTAATCTCACTACGATTACTTCATAATTGCTCATTCACTGTTGTTCTCACCCTATCAAAACAAATCTCATCATCGGAACTTCCAGAAGTCTATATATATATATATATTCACACTTAAGTTGTATATTAGTTTGTGATTGCTATACATGACATCACATTGATATTGAACTCCTTCCAATTTGTCCGGCACTTAAATTGATTTCAACTTCTCCGACCTTTCTTATACAGGTTATAAAGGGAAACTCCGCAAACACTATCCAACAAAGAACCATTTAGCAACCATGCTTTCATACGAAAATCGTTCCAATATGGCTCAACCAACTCCAGCCATGCCTGACCATTTGCCAATATCGACCTCGTCGTCGGCCTCAAATTCAATGACCAATGGCGCATCAAGACAGCCTCAGCCAGATCACTCTCACATCTGGTTGATTACCGGTCCTGCTGGATGTGGCAAAAGCACCGTAGGCCAATATGTTGCCAAAGCGATGAACTTACCATATATTGAAGGAGACGAGGTATATATATATTGATTCTGTCTACCTACTAATTCTCCTCCATTCTAACCAAAATCCAAACAGTACCACCCACAAACAAATATTGATAAGATGGCCCAAGGCATACCTCTCAACGACGCCGATCGCTGGGACTGGCTGACCAAGCTCCGCGACGAATCCGTCAACCGTCTGAACTGCGGCTCCCAAGGTGTCGTCCTTACTTGCTCTGCCCTGAAACGCAAATACCGCGACGTCATCCGTGTAGCTTCCTACTACAACCACAATGTTCTCGTTCACTTCGTATATCTGCATGCGAGCGAGGAAACATTACTCGAGAGAGTCGGTGCTCGCAAGGGTCATTTCATGGGTGCAAATATGGTTCATAGTCAATTTGGCATCCTCGAGCCACCTACCAAAGACGAGACGGATGTGATCCAGGTGGATGTTAGTGGATCTTTAGAAGAGGTCGAGCGAGATGCATTGGCGAAGATTCATACGGCGATACAGAAAGAATTGGCTAGGGATTCATGATCGCTATACTATACTTTCGGTAGAGGGATGTAGAGAATGCTCCTAGTGGAGAGATGGAGAGCTTATTTCCTTTTTCATTCACGGCGCTCGGTACCATTGGCGGAACTAGATATCCTTCATTGTTCATCCTCGATTTAACAATCGCGGATATTCTCTCGGCTACACACTTCGGAGTTGCTCGGGCTGTTTCTTTCTTCATGTGTCTGTCTATATACCTTTCGCATACGGGATTCACGGGGGTGGGGGCGGAGGGAGACAGTAAAATGGATTTGGCGTTGTTTTTTTTCTAGCCGTGGCTACATACGGCTTTTACTTTACTTATGTTGTTCATATGCATGACTTTTACCAAAGGGGCGGGGTTCACATTACAAGATAAGAAGAAGAAAGAGGACTTAGCGCCCGCGAAAGAAAGATGTGATGGGCGACTATCTACGCAATTAGATTTAATAAAAGAGTATCACGCACCCAAAATCTTCATGCGGGGGCATCTGGACATGGTACAATTTCGTGTTTCTCTATGATGCAACCATCTATTTTCTCGTTTGTTTTGGTATTTATGCATTACCTTACATACTATACCATCTACCATCGGAGATTCCTCCTTCTTCCTTCCTTCCTACACTATTCATCCATCCATCCATCCATATACATCCCCTCATTTTGCGATTTTGCGATTTTTGACCCTCTCTCTACCAGGAGTCTATCTACCGGTAATCTATGCGAACGAACGAACGCGGGGTAAGGTTAGCGACCAAAAAAACCCCCCAGAAATACTTTTTGTTTTTTTCATGCACCCCACCCAGTCGTCGGACAACGCATTGCATTTGTTGTGCGACAAGGCTGAAGTGTGCATGCATATATGTATGTATGTATGTATCATTGGTACAGTATTGAAGGGGTTTTTTTTTTTGGTTTCTTTTGTTTTGTTTTGTTTGAGAGATGTGATGGGATGTGACATGTGATATGAGATGATGTACCTACTTATTTGATAGTATATATTGGTTAAGAATGGAGATTGTTGTTAATTTATGTTTGTATATATATATATGTATGTATGTATTGCTTGATATACTAATGCTCCGCAAGTGCTTAGCAAGAAAGACAAAACAAAACATATGATCCACTGATTGCTGCACCCGAACGCCCCCATATTAAACACCGAATGCAACGCAGTCATCTCAATGAGTTAGTTGCATCAAAAAGCGGTTGCCTAATTCATCAACGTAGACAGTAAGACTTCGTGACTTCGTTTACCCAATTGAAAGTGGGATGGAAAACGTATTTTCTTATGTCCGCAGGTATCACAGTATTCGTATATATGTCGTGTTCTTGTCATATGTCATAAGAAGGTATTGCAGAATGCATAATGCATAATGCAGTCTGGGGTGCGAAGATCTTGTGGTTTGGAACGAAAAACGATCTCGTGGTTTTTTGGATTATTTCTCAGCCGCTTTTGCTAGACCTACATACATGCAAGCCAGAGGCGATAAGATGATGTCATGTATTAGTGCATTATTTCATGTGCAAGAGCATGGTTTCTGGATCTTCGATATATCCTTTGACCATCTCGGCTGCGCGCGCCATGGTTGCACCGTCGATTACGCGGTGGTCGGCGCTCCAGCTGAAGTTGACGACTTGTTTTGGCATGACGTTTCCGTGAGCGTCGAAGGCGGGGATGGTGCGTAGTTTGCCGATGCCGAGGATGGCAAGTTGGGAGTCGACGATGATGGGGGAGAGGTAGGTGCCACCAATGTTGCCAATGTTGGAAATGGTTATGGTACCGCCGGAGAGGTGGGAGGAGCCAAGGGTGGAGGTTGTGGCGAGGGTTTGGAGGGCGGTGAGTGATTTAGTTATGGAGAGGAGGTTAGAGGTGGAGTGAGCGTGTCTTAGAACGGGAACGAGGAGGCCTGTGGGGGTGTCCATTGCAATGCCGATATTGTGTTGCGGACGCCATGTTAAAATAGGTTTTTGGGTGGTGGGGTCGAGGTCGAGTCGAGCATTTAAAATGGGATAGTGAGTGAGAGTCAAAGAGACAGCTTTGATGATGAAGGGGAGGTAAGATAGTTTGGCGACCTCGTTGATGGGAGAGCTTGTCAATTTTTTGTTAATTCGATCTCGTACTTGAGAGAGTCTCGTAAAGTCAATCTCATCGGCGTAGAGAAAGTGAGGAATAGTCAGAGACCTCGTCATGGTCTTGAACATTTGTTGTTGAATCGGTGTTAAAGAAGTTGTGAACTCCTTCTGAGGTGCGCTGTCTGCCTCCACGAAGGGTTCCTGACTTGTTGATGGAGCCCCATCTCTCTGTTTTGCAAACTGATGTACATCCTCCTTGAGTACACGACCGTCTCTGCCCGTACCTGTCACATCTAATATATCCACATCTAATTCTTTAGTAAGATGCCGTACCGCTGGTGTTGCTAACGATGCATGTTTCCCTTTCGGGGTTGGAGGAGTAGGGGATCGAGTATCAGCAGCTGGCTGTGAAGCACCCGGAACATCGACGTTGTAATCCGTGGAGGATTCGTCCACAACTTGTGCTTTCGATTCTCCGCCAGCAGTCGACCCTCCAATGGCATCCGGATCCACTTGTTCTATCTCCCCTTGTATATCGATATCCAGGAGGGGTTTCCCCACCTGTGCCATCTCCCCGGCTTCATAATGTAGTTTCTTTATGACACCCGAGAATCGACTGGTGATCTCGACTGAAGCTTTGTCACTTTGCACTTCACATAATTTGTCCCATTCCTCCACCCGAGCTTCTGGTTCCACGAACCATTGTATGATTTCGCATTCTTTGATTCCTGGTATATATTAGTATGAGAAGTATATTTGACTAATGTTAGTCTTCTCACCTTCTCCAATATCGGCCAACATAAATGGTTTTATCGCTGACCGCTTCACAGATGCATGAAATAATTTGTGAGCGGTTGAGGATTGTTTGGGGAAATTGAGACCTTGATAGAGGTTCCATTTTCTGGATAGCACTTTTGAGTAGAATGGATAACGCATCATGAACAATCGTGCTTCAAGGACTTATACAATTAGAGGAAAGTTATTGTTGTAGTTATCTACAAAAGTACATCAAGTACGGGGGAAGTGGAATCCCCAGATAAATCCGGGGTAAGGGTTATCAACGGCTCAAGAGTTCCGAGCAGGGGTCTCGGAAAAACTGATGTCCGTCAGGAATAGAATTTATTGAAGGCTTTCTTGCTCGATCTCCCCTTTCCCATAAACGAAGATGTTCCTTACTCGGCTACCAATACGATCTGCAAGAAAACAGTTAAATGCTTCGGCATGTCTGCTATGTCAATGGCGTTCGTTTACCACAACATACCCACGATTGAACGAAAAGAAAGAAACACCACCACCACCGGCGCCGGCAGCTCCTTCAGTACTAGATGAAGCTCCAAGAGCTTCGGGCAAGAGAGTTGAAAGCTTTACGCCTAAACCTTTGGATCGAGCAATTGGTCTTCCCGACCCACCGAGAGCGGGAGAAAATAGCGGGGTGGATCCTAGGACCTATAAACAGAGAAAAGATGATTTCGTCACTTGGGAGAAGCATCTCGAAAAGCGCAAGAGATTGTGAGGTTGATGTGCCTAAAATCGTTTGCGCAGGTCACTAATATAAAGGATCCAGGACTGCGGCGATATCCAAGCCATATTTCAGAGAATGGGGTAATATGAAATACCACAAGGGAAAAACCTTCCTGGCACCTCCTCGAATTTTCAAAAGCGATCGCGCGCTCTATTTCCCGAATTTGAGCGGCCGAACTTTAGAGCCGGACTCAACCCTATATGAAAACACTACACCCATATTGGAGGGTAAGATCTCCGTTGTTTCCGTGTACAGCGGCGCATGGGCAGAGCACCAGGCAGCTACTTTTGCATCCGAGAAGAGCAATCCGGGTTTACACGAAGTAGTGAGAAATAGTAAGGGATTGGCACAAACTGTGCATATAAATGTCGAGGAGAACTACCTGAAAGCTATGCTCATCAAGTTCTTTCGATCGAGTTTGAGGAAGAAGCTACCAGAGTTGATGTGGAAGAGGTATTTTGTAGTCCAAAAGGGACTTACGGATGAGATAAAAGATGCTATAGGGATGCTGAACAGTAAGGTCGGATATACATACATTCTAGATGGGGAGTGCAAGATTAGGTGGGCGGGTAGTGGTCCTGCTGAGGAATATGAGGTGGATGTGTTGGCCAAGAATGTTTCCAGACTCTTGGAGGATGCTAAAGCACCCCTTAACGAGAAGAGACTGGCACAAAGTGCACAACAATCATGGGACTCTGCTGCAAAGAAATGGAGTAAAGAAGATGCAGCAAAAGCTGGTCGCCGAGCATGATATTCCTGAATATACCCTTTAAGTCATTATTACGCTGTACAACAAGTTGGTCATATCTTAGACCATCCCACTCCAAACGCCGTGTCCGCTCTCTCATGGCCGTGAAATGCACTGCGCTATCATATCCTCACATAAAGTACAAAAACATCAAAAAACAAAAGGCAATGAAACCCCCCATGATAATTCCATCCCTCCTCTTCTTCGCACTAATCCTCCCAATCAAACTATTCAGCCCCGGCACCTGGCTTGCAGCCCCTGTAATCCGTCGATTAATACTCGCCAGCGTTTCCCTCTGCAGCCCAAAACTCTCATTGACAGCGTAAGCCTGACTCAACACACTATCCGTCATATTATGACTATTCTCAATACGACTCCTCTCTCCCAACATATAATCGGCTTCCGCGGCTTCAGGGTTACTGCTATGATAAGCGTCGATATCAGACCGCACATTCGAGAGCAGGTTTGCGCGATTACGAGCTTCGGAGATGGAGGAACGGATGCGCGAGAGTTCGCGACGGTGGTCGAGGAGAATTTCGCGGTGGCGCGTGAGGTTATTCTGGCGAGTTGCGGAGGCAGTAAGAGAGGAGTCGCTGTCGAGGAGGCGAGAGAGTTGCGATATGAGAGTTTCTCTCTATAAGCATGTGTGAGACGAGGTTCTTGAGGTTCTGGGGAGGAGTATTTATTACCTTTTCTAGAATTTCTTGTAGCTTCATTTCCGTTGATCGTTCATCTTCTGAAGGTTTTGGAGGAATATTGGAAACGGCTGAGAATTGCGAATAGGTATGGAATAGTGTTTCTGTCTGCGCGGACAGGTAAGTTAGTCTCGAGAAAGATAGCTCTTGGGAGGGATATATTACTTACTTGAGTTTCTAAGGATCTAGCTTGTTGACGAAGCTGTGCCCAGCCTGTCCCAGTAGATGTAGACATCGTTCCTCAGTTGTGATATGAATTGGAATGGGTATGTAACTCGCAATGATTTATCGCATTTGTTGCAGGCGCATTATTTTGTGATGCTGGGTTACGTTCGCTGGAGCGGAATATACACGGCCCGCTTCTCCCTTTGTCGGGGTTGTCGCATCATCAATATCACGGACCAATCATTCTGCTACACTCATGTATCATCTATGGTATTTGCTTAATCCTAATATAGATTTAAGGCTTCACTTAATCATACATCAATATACCATTTCATTAGTAGATCTAAAGGTGTATTGTGTATTAGCATAAATCTTGATTGGTGTATTTAGAAACAAAATCGGACATTGTAGGTTCTATAAACCAATAAAGATTTTGATCCAAATCTATTAATTCAAAACTTAAGTCTATATTAGGACTAAGAAATACTAAGTACCTTCCCGTACCAATATCACTGAATCATATCCATGTACCTAGGTAGCTTTTTCAAAATACTTCCTAAGTGGCCAGAAGCCCACCGGGAGCATCCATGCTATAGTTTGGACGTACCCGAAATGCTTGAGCTCCAAGGATAGGACTTTATACTTCTGCAAACGAAACGGTTCTATAGAGTACTTGTGTACAGTTTTCATCTAAAGTTGCACGTGAAGGTCATGAACGTTTTCAAATAAATCTGTCAATTTCTGCATAATGCTAGCTGGCAGTTACATATGAAGTATCGAGTTTTCAAAACTTGACACTATTCTTTTCGTAAAAACAGAAACGCCATGCCCAAAAATATCCTTGCAGAACCATGCCATCATTCCTTAAGATATCTCGCAAAGTAAAAGAGCTTTCATATGCAATCGTCAAGCACATCATAAACCTTTCTATCAAATCGCTGTCCTAAACGCCAGTATGCTTGTAATGACCTGCACAAATCAAATCAGCCGGCAGCTTGAAGGAGTCTCTCTCCAGCCTTGAGATTTGCACAAGAATAAGCCTTAGACTCGGGTGGGAATGTTCCATTAGCAGCCCAAAGGTCAATCAATGGTTGCATGGGCTCCAATTCATGTGGCTTCAACATGTCAATCTCAGTTGCGGTCAGAACGAAGTGACTGAAGCAACTATTCATATGCTTATCGAGATTGAGGTGGTAAAAAGGCTCAATGAAGTGTCCCCAATAGAGATGAGCATAGACCCGGAACATTTGTCTGAAAATTGTTTGGCAGACATCAACAAATTCTTGTGGGAATCCACTGCTCTTGCCGATCCAATCGCCAGCTCCGGCAAGCTGAGAGAGAGAAGTTGTAAGTGTAGTTGGGCCAGTAGGAATGGGTGTGTTTGAGCCAGGGGTGTTGACTGAACCAGAAGCATAGGTCGAGCCGGCAACCTCTGGACTGCCACTGTTGTGACTGTAGGAGATGCCAGCGGGATCAGTAGGGAAGATAGCGGTATTATCGATCTTGCCAGAAATCCAGCGTTGCATGAGGGAGATGTACTCGTGGGCTGGTACCTCGACAGGCTCTTTGCGGGAGTTCAGCCAAGTGAAAGAGTGGTTACTAGATAGCTTGTTAAATATCGGGTCGGTGAACCTCAGATAATGTAGACTTACGCGCCAGCGGACATGCGAGGGCAAGTCTGAGGGTTACAAATGGTGTTACCATCTTCTTCCTTTTCATGAATCACCCGAACGAAGTTCCACAAGATACGATAATGTTCGATGACTACAGATATTAGCACAAGACCGTTAATAAAGTTATGCATAACTGACCTTGGTGAGCAATCCACTCTCCAGGTTCAACTGTCTTTGGACGGGCAGACAACGTCATGAAGTTACCCTTAACGATATGCTTGGCATAGGCGTTGTTGAGCCAGAGCGGCTTTGGGCGAGGGAGATTATAAGCAGCGAGAGGGTCATTGCTTGCAGGGAGGGCTTGCTGGTCATCCATAGACATGGTGTGGGATAGCGAGGGCGAATTGGGGAGTGGCGAAATGCGGGGTGCGATGCTGGCGGGTGACGAAGAATTGACGGGGGAATTGCCTGTAGGAGAGGTTGGCGAAACTCCGTTAAGCCCGCCTGGACTCTTTGCGCCAGAACTCTTACCACTGCCGCGGAAGCGGCCACTTCTATTAAAGGAGAACTATTAGCAGGTTTCATTTTTACAATTGGCTGGAAACAAAGAGTAAATCTTGAGATCGGGAGAGGGCAAGAAACACTGGAGATTGCAGGGACAACGCAAAGCAGCAAATACCACAGACGGAACAATCCATCTAATAACAAGTCTGGAAAGAAAATATACCTTGAGCCAGTAATGTACATGATTGAAGTACTTGTTGAAGGAGATGATTTTAGGAGCAAGGGCTGATTTCTCCACTGATAAAGTCACCCAGACCGAGGACTTCTGGTATTAACAGATAGGATTGATCCTAAGACTTCTCATCTGATCATAAAACTTCAAGCGACTTGCTTGCTGATAGGTCGGTTGAACCAAAGATAGAGAGATATCGGACGCGGTGATAATGAGCCGACTTCTCATATAACCGCACCTCAAACAAAATTCCCTCCATTTTTAAACAACTCTTTTCCACTCAGAGAATTCCATTTGGTAAAATTCCCAAGTATTACCATCGAGGCTGGAATAACAAACGGCACCACAAACAAACGAGTAAGAAATCCGACCACGTACATTCCTGAAAACAAGTTTGACATATTGCTGAATCTATCAAGCAATACAGGCGGGTTCTTGAATTTCAAAAATTATCAATTAATTCAAGTAAGTCAACTACCAGATCAAAGATGGTTGAGTTGAGTTGAGGTGGTTGAAGATTGTGGTTTGTACTTGATATCAAGGAGGAATAGGAGACAAACAAGAAAAGCTTAGGAAGTTCTTGAATAGATTAGCGTCGGCGTCTGTCTTACTGTTATTCCGTCGACCAACTCTATCTTAAACTTGATCATTGGCTAACAAACCGAGAAAGCGGTGTAGAGGTACAATAGAGGAGGTTCTATTATTGCTGCTTTGTGCAATCATCTTACATTTTCGTCTACCTAGGTACTTACATTCATCAATTTTTAACTACACCACTGCAATAATTGCCTTCAGGTTATCCATTCAAAACTTCTGTATCGATCGAGCTTTGCGCGAAACCTACAAATAAGGACTGGGTCTGGCGATTTCCCTTTTGGCCTCAATTATAATCACAACCATCAATAAATACACCACACAATATGGCATCCAATTCAGAAGATGAAGTTATGAACCATATATCCGATGTTGAGGAGGATGATGACCTATTTGGAGATGTTCCCGATGAAGAACCAGAAACTGCACCACCCCGAATATTGAGCGACGCGGAATTGGATTCGGGGGATGATTCAGGGCGCGATGATAGAGTGCTAGATAAAGAAGACGAAGAAGAATCGCCAGCTGAAGACACACGAAATGCGCGAATTCTTGAGGCTGATATCTTCAGGCATCCAGTTCCAAGACCTTCAGATGGAGAAGTAAGTTCGCCCTGCTCATATCTTGTGCGCATGGTTAATAATTTTACAGTTCCATACATTACGCCTACCCAACTTCTTTGGAATCGAACCTCGAGAGTACAGTCCCCAAACTTTTGAAATTCCCGTTTCCGATCATAATGTTACAACTCAATCCGCAAACTTCTCCGCGAGAAACGTGGCGGAATCAACCATTCGCTATCGCAAGACAGATTCTGGCAAACTCGAAAGCAATACGAATATATACACATGGAGCGACGGTAGTACCACTATAGCTATCGGTGATCAACATTATGAGTTGCAGAGCAAACCTCTTGCGCCAGCTAAGGATAGCAAGTATCAAGAAGTGCTAGACTCACATCATTATATGGCTTCGCCTTCAGTCACATCTCAAATTCTCGTTTTCGTCGGACACATGACCAACGAATTCACAGTCAGACCAAATAAAGATATCGAAGATGATGCGCTGAACACGTTGAAGAAGAATCTTACTGCAGCTACTGGTCTCCAAGGGGACGAAAAGAAACGCCCGAATATGATCGTGCAAATGGAAGATCCCGAACTCCAAAAGAAGCGAGCAGAGACAGCAGAAAAGGAGCGTATGCGTGCTCAACGTCGCCGGGAGGCCCAACTTGAAAAAGCCAGTCAATCAACTGCTGGACGTCGTGCCGGTATTGGTGCAGGTCTTACTCTTGACGATTTGGATGGCCGTTCTGGACGTCGTGGGCCACGCAAACCTGCTGGAGCCAAGCGTCCTCGTCGTAGACCAGATTATGATTCGGACGATGACCTTCCTCGTGGTAGAAATCGTGAGGATGAGTACGATAAAGAAGATGACTTTTTGGCATCTAGTGACGAGGAACCTGAGGAGGGTGGAGGAGACGACGATGAAGAGGAAATTATCGATGAAAGTGATGAGGCCCCTAGACATAAGAAGCAAAAGACGTCGAAAAAACCTGTGGAAGAAAGTGATGCTGACGCAGATGCCGAAGCTGATCTGGATGACGATGAAATTGTTCAAGCTCCACATGCAGAAGCTGGTGGAAATAGGAGAAAGCGTAACATCATCGAGGATGAAGATGATGAATAATTTCGAGATTACAGAAGATATTACGGAGACATGATAAATAATAGGCACTTCGAAAAGCATTTTTTGTGTTTCCCGTAACATACCCGGCGTTTTATGGCAGATTATACAATAGTTGAGCTTCTACTGCACAAGCACGGGGCATTGGCACACCATGCATTCTGATATGCTTGTCTGCCCTCAATAGATTCTCGAATTAGCAGATGATATGTTACAATTCATTGTGATCAAAAGATAGAACCAGATATCTTCATATAAAACTTATGACATACCTACCGGTACTGCTGCATAAAAGAAAGGCCAAAGCTTCATCCTTGACAATCCGGGGAAATGGAAATCGTCACATGCTAATCCTTAGTTTTAGAATAGATATCTCTTTTGTAAATAAATAAACTACCAACCAACTTTAAGAATTCAAAGACCTTTCATTTCCTACAATCATGTAGTAGTAGTCCAGCTCCTAAAAGACCATTGCTACTCTCAAAATGACTGGAATTATATCGGGAATATGGAGCATGCTCTTGGAGGTTATGTACTTCTGGCAAAGAGTAAGGAATTTGATAGCTTCATTGAAAACGGGGCCAAGCTAATCATACAATAGAGATTCATACAATGGATGACTCGAAAGAAACCCGTACAGCTTTGGTCAGATATTTTACGGGATGCCCATACATATGAGGAATGGGAAGAAGCTGCTTTTCAATTAGATGTTTTGTTGGGAAATGATTTATGGTCGGTTCGCCCCCCCAAATCTTCTTCGCATGCGGGTAGCAAAGACTAATAGAACATAACATTGCAGGCGCCAGAACCCTACATCCAAATACTACGATTATCGATTGATTCATGAAAGGTTGCAATCAATCATCGTAGCCCGCGAAGAAGGAGATATCCTGCAACTAGTCAATCTGCTGAGATCTGGTCTCGTACGTAATCTGGGGAATATATCCGCTCCCCGGCTTTTCAATCGCGCATTTGCGGGCACCAAACTTTTGATCGAAGATTACATTACACAAGTGGCACAGGCGGTGGCGGATGTGACGCATTTACCTACCACACCCGGCGCCGATGGGAACAACGGAAGTGTGATGGGCTTTAGCAGCCAGGCGAAATTGGATTTACTGCATGACACCCGACAGGCTTTCGGGAGAAGTACATTGGTATTACAAGGCGGAGCAATATTTGGACTGTGTCATTTGGGGGTTGTGAAGGCGTTGTTTAATAGGGGGTTATTACCGCGGATTGTGACGGGTACGGCGACGGGTGCGCTCATTGCAGCATTGGTGGGAATTCATACGGAAGATGAGTTGCCAAAGTTTTTGAATGGAGAGAGTATTGATCTGTCGGCTTTTGCGGGTAAGGAGAAAGGACTCCAGGGAACGAGTGGGTGGTGGGATACTCTGACGAGGAGAGTTAAGAGATTTTATAGAGAGGGGTATTTTTTGGATGTGAAAGTGTTGGAGGAATGTGTGCGGGCAAATGTGGGTGATTTGACGTTTGAGGAAGCGTTTAATAAAACCAAGAGAGTTTTGAATATTACAGTGGCCACGAGTGGGAAAGGGGGAGTACCAAACTTGCTTAATTATCTCACAGCACCCAATGTGGTAAGTATACATACACTTTCTACCCAAATATTCATCTCGCTAACCGAGGGAGTTGATATGGTCTGCCGCCCTCGCATCCAACGCCTCCACCCCCTCTCTCTACGGATCCTCCGTCACCCTGAAATGTAAAGATCCTTCAACCGGCACCATAATTCCCTGGTCCGCTGCCTTAGACGCTACCTTCCGCCCCTGGACTCATGCCTCATATACGGATCGCGACTCACCCCTCTCCCGCATCGCCGAGCTCTTCAACGTAAACCACTTCATCGTCTCTCAAGCCCGTCCCTACCTCGTCCCCTTCCTTCAATCCGACATGCACGGTCCATCTCGTCTCTACACTCGTGGAGGACGCACCTCTTTAACAGGCGGTTTATTACGCCTCATAACTATGGAAATCCATCATCGACTTCAGCAACTTGATTCGCTTCAGCTTCTTCCTCTTTCCATTCGCAGGTTCCTGGTGGATGAACATATACCTGCCGCATCTGTAACATTGGTACCAGTCCTCTCCGCAAGTGATTTTATTCGACTTCTCGAGACGCCTACTCAGGAGAGTCTAGATTATTGGATATTGAGGGGAGAGAAAAGTGTGTGGCCAGCGGTAGGAGCTCTGAAAGTTAGATGTGCGGTTGAGACCGAGTTGGATAGGGGATATCAGATTGTGAGGAGGAGGAAGGCGGGAGGGCTGAGGAGAAGAGGGAGTGTAGCTAATGAGGGGCATGGGGGAAAGAGGGAGCGGAGAGCTAGTAGTGTGGGGCCTAAGTGATAAGGCCGGGTTTATTTATTGTAGGTTTTGGTAGGAGATAGCTGTATTATGTCACTCGCTGTATATATTTATATATTTATTTATTTAATAAATTAACGTCCGGGGGGTAGGCAGAGCCTATCCGCGACCTCCCGAAAGATACTGGGAACAGGCTAAGATAAGATACTAATTACATAAACACAGAAATCCATATTTATTATCTCGAAATAGCCAATTTTCTTCCATTTCCGATACAGGCTTTTAGTTCTAAAGCTAAATAAAGGGATACTGTTCTTTTGCTTCGATAATAACTTATTATATATAAGTTGCTTATTTTGTTTAGAATATATTTATTACTATCAAAAGCTTTTGTAAGTTTATATAATTATAATTATTATAATATTAGAATAAGGATTAGATTGTTACAAGGTTTTTGATTCTATAATAAAAGTAGATATAAATAGATATAGATATAGGTATATATAGATAAATATAGATATATATAACGTGGTTTATCAGTGTGTCGCGCATATCAGTGCCTCGCGCACTTTTTCACTACTCAATCATTTCAAAATATTATTCAATAATCACAACATATAAAATTAATTGAAACTATTCAGAATCTGATAAACTAGAGTCTTTTAAATCCTCCTGACAAGTTCGTATATTAT